TCAGTCCCAGGTACATAAGAGTTAATCCCAGGTACATAAGCGTCAGTCCCAGGTACAGAAGAATCAGTCCCAGGTACAAAAGAGTTAATCCCAGGTACATAAGCGTCAGTCCCTGGTACATAAGAGTCAGTCCCAGGTACAGAAAAATCAGTCCCAGGTACATAAGAGTTAATCCCAGGTACATAAGCGTCAGTCCCAGGTACAGAAGAATCAGTCCCAGGTACAAAAGAGTCAGTTCCATGTGTTGAAGAAAAAAATATCTAATTAGCCTAGTAGTAACTGTTTGTGTTTGTGTGTTGCTGCAGGTAAGCCGGACCGCTGTGTGTACCGGGGTCTGACCATGTTCGACCTGGCCGTCTGGTCTCCGACACCCTGTGTGACGTGTTTGTGTGCTGAGGGGCGGGTGGTCTGCGACGAGATCTCCTGTCCCACAATGCACTGCCTGTCCACGGCCACCCCCGCCGGGCGGTGCTGCCCCGTCTGCATGGATCCAGGTAGAAACACAACATGTGAGAGCGAGATGGTGCCACATCCTGAGGAACCAGAGATGAGAACCTGGTCTGAGACTCTAGGGTTCCACATGAACCAGTTTCATCTCTGAGGCCTCGGCATGTTGCTTCCTGTTTCCATCCTGACTCTGAAATGTGTTTGGCACATTTTGGATCAGTCAGCACACATGTTGTGACATTAAAACATGTCTGTACCAACATACAACATGTTTGGAACCGGGTTCTGTTTAACTGGTCCAGAACCTGTCTGTCTGCAGCACTAACACAAACCTGTCTGTGTCCACCTGTCTGCCTGTCCTAAACACCTACATCTTCTGTAGTTTACCTTCTACCCTCCGCTCTTCTTCTACTCTTTTCCTCCGCATCTGTCTTTCTTTCTCTTCTTCTCTTTCCTCGTCGTCGTCGATGCCTCTCGCTCTCTGATTGGCTGCCGCGTGGCTCCAAACCATCCCAGACCCGGAGCTCAGCCTCGACCTTTCTGGTGACTCTCCAGTTCCCAGTGACCCCAGCAAGGCGGTGGTCCCGCTGACCCAGGAGGAGATCCAGAGAATCCTTTGGAGGGAGGAGGAGGAGCACCGCGAGGAGGAGGAGCGCCTGAAGAAGAGGGACGAGGCAAGGAAGAAGAGAAGGAAGGAAAGGAAGGAGCAGGAAGAGAAACAGAGGAAGCTGGTGGAAGAAAAGAGGAGGGAGGAAGAGGAGGCGCTGAGGCTGCAGGTGCAAAAAGAGGAAGAGGAGTGGAGGAGACAGATAGAGGAGGCAGAGGAGAGGAGACGGCAGGAGGAGGAAAGGAGGCTACAGGAGGAGGAAGAGCGGAGGGAGAGAGAGAGGGAAGAACGAGAGAAGGAAAGGAAAATAGAGGAGGAAAGAAGGAGACAGGAGAGAGAAAAACTCCTGGAGGAAGAGGAGCAACAGAAGGAGGCAGAGGAAGAGGAGGAAGAGGTGTGGCTGAGAGGAGATGTGTTTCAGGTGATCCCCAAAGAACCTGACCTCCTCCCAGCTCCCATCCCGACACCTCCTGCTGCCATGGAAGAGGAAGAGGAGGACGAGGAAGAGGAGGAAGACCCAGGGAGCAGAGGAGGTCTTCCTCCAGGATGTGTCATCTCTGATGTCACTGTGACGTGTGAGAACATCAAACTCACACACTTTCCTCCTCTGAGCATCCCCGAACTGAAGTCTCTCAGTCTGGAGGGTGAGTCCCATTCACACCAGGAAAACAACCAGACACACAATCAGATTAACAACCGGACACACAATCAGATAAACAACCACACACACAATCAGATAAACAACCNACACACAATCAGATAAACAACCACACACACAATCAGATAAACAACCAGACAACCGGACACACAATCAGATAAACAACCAGACACACAATCAGATAAACAACCGGACACACAATCAGTTAAACAACCGGACACACAATCAGATAAATAACCGGACACACAATCAGATAAACAACTGGAGACACAATCAGCTAAACAAACAGATACACAATCAGATAAATAACCAGAGACACAATCGATAAATAACTGGAAAAACAACCACATAAACAACTGGACAACAACCTGACACACATTCCCACACACTCAAATAAACAAATAGATAAACAACCGTGCACACAATCAGATAAACAACTGGACACACAATCAGATAAACAACTGGAGACACAATCAGATGAATAACCGTAGACACAATCAGATAAATAACTGGAAAAACAACAACATAAACAATAGGACAACAACCGGACACACAATCAGATAAACAACCGGAAACACAATCAAATAAACAACCAGATAAATGACCAGAGACACAATCAGATAAACAACCAGAAACACAATCAGATAATTGACCAGACACATAACCACATAAACAACCAGACACACAATCAGATAAACAACCAGAAACACAATCAGATAATCGACAAGACACACAACCACATTAACAACCGGACAGACAATCAAATAACCACCGGACACACAACCACATAAACAACCAGACACACCTGAAGCCACTGTTAAACCAGTGTAATCTAAAAACACAAACAAACGAAACATGTAATCAAACTTTCCTCCATGTTTCATGTTTTTCTTGGTAATGACCGACAGGGAACAGCATCAGCAGCATCCCAGCAGGAGCCTTCAACGGCATTCCCAACCTGGAATGGATCAATCTGAAGAAGAACAAGCTCACCTCTGCTGGCATTGATGCAAATGTCTTCAAAGTAAGAAATGTTGGATCACCAAACCACAGCAGACCATCAGAATATCTGTGATTGTAGTAAATGGATCCTAGTACCAGCAGTGTGTCACTCCCATTGTTCCAGGGCCTGAAGATGCTCAGACGTCTGTACCTGGACGAGAACCTTCTGGACACCGTGCCCCCAGACCTTCCCCCCACGCTGCAGGAACTAAAGATCAGCGAGAACAAACTGAGAGGAATAGATGAAAACAGCTTCCAAGGTACTGAGATACCCTTCCATCCAACCATGAACAGTCCCAAAACATAAAAAACTAAACAGATCAGACCTATACATCTGAAAATGACAAAAGATCAATCAGGGCTATCTGGTAGAACCACTCTGATTCTATCGTCTTCTATAATGTCCAGATCTGAGCAGCCTGGTGACTCTGGAGCTGGAAGGAAACCTGTTAAGTGAGGGGAACGTGGATCCTCGGGCCTTCACTCCTCTGACACAGCTCTTCTACCTCAGACTGGGAAGAAACCATTTCCGCACCATTCCACAGGGTCTTCCAGAGTCTTTACTGGTACCGACTATCCTCTCTCCTCATTTATCTGCCTCGAGGGAACACAGTCTGAATCTGGTCCTCTGTAAAGAGAACCAAATGAATCTGGTTGATCAAACATTTATTGGTTTTCAGGAGCTGTATCTGGAGAACAACCTGATAGAGGAAATCTCTGAGACTGTTTTCAATCGGACTGGGAACCTGAACATAGTTTCTCTCAGACACAACAAGCTGGATGAGACCCGGATCGCCTCGATGGCTTGGTTTAATCACAGGTCAGACAAAAATCAGACAAAATCCTACAATCATACAAACACTACCTTAAAACACAGTCTTTTTCATTCCCATTGTTCTACCTTTTCTGCAGAAACTTGGAGTCTATTGACTTGTCCCACAACGAGTTCTACCTGGTTCCATCCTTCCTGCCCAAATCTTTGGTCCATTTGGTCCTGGTGGGCAACAACATCGAGAGGATACCTGGTAGGCTGAAGGAACCTGAGCCTAAACCTGAGGCTGAAACAGGATTTATATAAAAGAGGAAGAGACAGAATAATGGGATTTAAAGACGAAAGCTGGTGACTGTTGGAGTTTCAGGCAACAAACGACAAACTAAGCTAACCGTTCCTCTCATAAACCTCCACAGGTTATGTCTTCGCCCACATGGACCCTGGTCTGGAATTCCTCTATCTGTCCTTTAACAAACTGGATGGAGAGGGAGTTGAACCCGAGTCATTCTTCGGCGCCTATCACTCCATGACAGAAATGTGTCTGGACCACAATCAGCTGATTTATGTTCCCGTCGGCATCAGCGAAATGACCAACCTACACTTCCTTCGTCTCGACAACAACAAGATCAGGTATAAAAACCACAACTCAGGTGTGTTTGGGTCGTTATTACAATAAATCAGTAACTTTCACACAACATTCCTCCTTAAAGGAAGTTCAAAATAAATCAGAATAATTGTTTGTATAAAACAAATAAGTTCCAGTGAACAAAAACTGAACAATCTGAATTTAAAAGGATCAACAGTCAGAGTCTCTCCACTGATTCACGTCAGAAAACATGATGCTGAAAGTTCACTGGATGGAAGGTCTTCATGACGACCAGAAACAAAACAAACTGAAGTTTCCACCTGAGAGTCACCCTGAATCATCGTTAAACAGCAACACGAGGTGTGGAGGAGCGTTTTTTTTTTTAAAATAAAAACAACATTTACGTTTAAAACAGCTCCTTCACAGCCAGGATGAGCTCACGCTTTATTTTTAAACTTTTATTTACGAAGGAAACCAGGTGGTTTGTAAAACTTCATGTCAGCTTCATCTTTAGGCTCAAGGTATTGTAAATATTTGTCCAGACAAAGTTAATTCCACAGATTTGATGGAATTTTTCTATAAAAGACATAAATGTATTAAAAATGATGGAGCCCAACAACAAAACAAGAGAAGATTTGTTATCTTCAGCCTGGTTTTCTCATCTAAAAGCTGCTTAATAAAGTGTCTCTGATTGCATGTTTCTGGTGTAACTTGCAGGAGTATCTCTGACGAAAGCATCTGTGACCCGAACCAGGGCGAGGAAACCCCTCTGGTGAGTTTGAGGATGGAGAACAACTACCTGGACCCCCAGAAGATCTCGCCCTCAGCCTTCTCCTGCGTCCGCTCTGCTTCCAGCGTGGTTTTAAAACCCCAGAAAACCAAAAACTAAGAACACGCTTTGGACTGAATTCTGTCAAGAAAAGAATGTTCATTTCTCTCCGACTCTCCTCCTGATGGGACATGAACGACATGACAAGAATAAAAGAAAAAAATATATATATATATAATACTGTATATGTGTATGATGTACCTGCAGAGATGTAACTGTCAATGATGGAATTTGCCTTCTGGGAAAGTTCTGTCTGATCTGTTTGGACTTCATTTTTAAACGCGTTGTGTGTAATATTTTGTTCCAAACATGCCATTCAGAGGTTTGGTAACATGTTCTGCCCGGTCCTGCGGTCCGGGTCGGGCTTTAGAGCGATGACAGAACTCCTCCAGGACGCGTCGGTCTCCTTCAGTACGACTGGAAAGAATCCCCGCAGCAGAAACTGTAAAATACTAATAAAAACGTGGAAAGAATGTCTTTGCAGAGACACCGCAGAAACCTTCATGTTCCACTTCTCAGCCATGGTTCTGATCCAGAAAAGGTCCAACATGATGTGGAGCGTGAGAGGAGTTCTTAAAGGTTCTGTAGGGTCAGGTTAAACTAAAGCAGACGTCAGGACATGGTTTTTGTTTATATCCTTTGTCTCACCTCGGTGAGCAGACAGAACCTCAGCTGCGCAGATGAAAAAAAATATGAGAAGCTGCTTTTAAATTATCTCAACATTTTTACTCTGATGAATCAAAATAAATAAAAATAATACCTGGAAATGTGTTTATTGTCATGTATTCAGTCAAATTTAGTTGTACCAAGCAGGTCAGCTGGTGGGTCAAGCTGGTTTGGTTTGGACTCTTTTGGACCTCAGATACGGCACGGTATGAAGGCTATGATTAAGACTACTGCACAAGCAGTGGTTGCTACATCTTTGTAGCAGGAGGCTATATCTATTCCTAAACCAGCTATTTATCTGATTAATGATAGGTCAGCACCGCTAACTGAGCAGCCGGTCCTGCTAACTGAGAGGACAGAGCTGGCAAATGAGGAGACTATTTATTTGTGTTAGCATCGGAGAGGCTAACGACTAGCATGGATAAGCTGATGTTAGCATTGCAGAGGCTAGCAACTAGCATGGATAAGCTGATGTTAGCATTGCAGAGGCTAGCAACTAGCATGGATAAGCTGATGTTAGCATTGGAGAGGCTAGTGACTAGCATGGACAAGCTGATGTTAGCAATGGAGAGGCTAGCAACTAGCATGGATAAGCTGGTGTTAGCATTGGAAAGGCTAGCGACTAGCATGGATAAGCAGCTGTGAAACAGACTGTCGCCATATTGAATTCTGCTTCCATGAACAGATGGACAGATGGACTGAACCGTCCACATGATGGTCACTGGACCTGACCATCGTCCTGGACTAGTCTCTGTTCCAGTTCCAGTGGACCCAAACAGAGCAAAGTGTGAAGGTCTGTGAGGATCAGAACATGAGACAGACTTCTTTCACCACGTTCATCAATGACCAGACTATCATCCTGTCTCTGGGTCTGGTTCTGCTTCAGTGGACTCAGTCATCATGGCAGATTTAAAGGTTATATTTCATAAAGAGATCAACTTCTTTACCTGTTAATTACATTTAGTTGTGGACTTGGAGTCTCGAAGAGGTAGAAAAGCAGAAAAGCTGTCTCTTGGTGCTGCAAAGATTTCTTTAGATTCTGTTTGGGTCAGATTTTTCAACCCGTTCAGTTTTTTCTATTTTCTGAACTATTACATCAAATGATCTGCAACGGTTCTAAAGGTCTGGACTTTCCAACTACAACTTGCTGGTCTTCATTCTCCTCTGTTTTGGGTTAGACTCTGGTTCTGGGTTAGACTCTGGTTCTGAGACTCTGGTTCTGAGTCAGACTCTGGTTCCAACACGTCTTCACTTGTTCACATCTTTTAATTCACTTGCAAATAAAAGTTTCAGTCGTAAACCCCACTATCAAACTGAAATGAACCAGTATGGAAGCTGGAGGGGGCGGGGTGTGAAGTTCCTCCTTTGGATTTAAAGAGACAGCCTCAAAACGAGTTGACCTTAGACACGCCCCAGAAAAGGGGCGGGGCTTGTGGAGTTACGATAAGGAAGAATTCAGACCAAAGCGTTGCAGTTCTTCTTTATATAAACCCCAACTGAAGGGTTTAAAAACATCACGTTTACTTTAAAACATAAAGAAACAAAGATAGATTGTGGGCGCACATCCAATCATTACCTTTGAGACAGTGAGATATTTTGCTAACAGACACTGAGGATGACGATAATTGACACAAATGCTCTGTTGGTGAAAGATTTGCCTTGAGGCCAAACAAGAAGTCAGATAAAGTTTCTCTGTCTGCACATCAGCTCATGCTATCAAATGATCACCTCAGGCCTCAGAGACAACATGGAGCCATGAAGACAGTTCATGGAACGAGTCCTGATAAAATGTGGGTCCAGAACCGCACCCAGAAAAACCACCTCAATCTGAAGATTTTCCCCTGAAAGCTCGAGGTTCAGGACCGTCCTCAGACGTCTCAAAGCAACGACTCAAACAGCAAAACTACTGATGTGATGATCCACGTTTCTGTTAGCAGAGCTGCAAATATTAAAAGTCACACAGACGAGAAATAGGAAAGTAGGAAAGCAATAATAATAAAAAATAACAGAAGCAGAAGTGTGGGTCAGGTTCACAGGATGTCGGCAGCCGTCGTGACGGCGCTGGAAAACTTTTCTCAAATGAGCCGGAGCTCAAAGATTAAAGCTGTTCCTGCAGAAAAAAAAGGAAATTGTGCCGAGCTGCCAATGGAACGGCTGCTTTGTTCATCAGAAAGAGGAATGAAACGGTCACATGAGCTCATACGGGCCGGAGACGACCAGGTTCAACAGGAAAACACAAATTAAAACCTTCAGCGCTGCGATTATTCATCTGATAACTGAACAACTCTGCTGTGGTCAGATAAAAACTCTTATTTCTGTTTCATCTCATCAATTATACCCAGACTGTTAAGGAAATATAGCGTTGGTGCTAACGCTAAAGCTAACAGGCTAATCTGAGGTTGTTCTTCCATGAAGCAGCTCTGTTGTCCTCCATCCATATTTTCAGTTCCAGGCTGAGTCATTTCTACCTTCTCCTCTCTGTCAACGCTCTCTGGTTTCATTTAAAAGAGTCGATCATCAGATATTGTCCAAGATTAACCTTCAGGGTGGATATAGCTCGCTAGCAGCCTCGCACCGAGGACCTATCCACGTCATCATTTACCCAGAATGCTTTGTGTGGAAATAAAATGACTCCGTCCGTGTTAAAATATATTTTTAAAATTTTACAAAACTAAACAGATTTTTACAGTCTTTATTTTACAGTTAAAATACATGTTTATCAAATAAATTCTAATGTTACAGCTAATCGGGGATCCCTTCAAAACATGTTCTAATTAATCAGATTCTTTGAGTTTGAATCAGTTTCAGGTGAACATGTGGAGGATGATGTCATGTTTCAGGGTCGCACCTCCTTTCTAAATGTTTCCTGGCAACGACCCCTTCCCGTGGCGTTGAACCTTCAGCCACGCCGAGGCAACTCCTCCACCCAGATGGAGGAAACTCTCCTCAGAGCGGGAACACGACAAGCTCCAGCCGGTCCAAAGCTTCACAGATGTCTGAAGGGTTTGGAAAGTCTGAGAGACCGCCTCCCGTCAGGAGCGGAGCTCCTCAGGGTCGTTAAAGCTTCACGTTTTCAAACCACCACTAACCTTTCCTTTTACAGAACTAAACCACTGCTTTAAACCCCCTCAGTTCTCCTGAACCTCCACAGATCCCAGACCAGGACTCTGCAGACGAACATCAGGATCCAATCAGATCCCGGCCTCGTTAAAGAAAACGATGCTGGTTAGTCTGAAGGTTTGGCTCGGAGCAGCTGATTGTTTCAGCACGCAGTTATGATGCTGAGTGGAAACTCAGGCTGAGGTCCAAACAGAGGGGAACCAGAAACGTGGATCTGCTTACATCACAGATTAGATTCAGCGAGGTCTGTTCACCGGAGACATCCAACAAAACAAACTTCAACACATAAAACTAAAAATACATGTTAAACTAGAGTTAGTTTTTTATTTAGAGTCATGCCATCATGTCGTCTTTAATCTTTGATGTTCAGGAGGGTTCAGTCAGAATCAGGAAACAAAATGAGATTTAAGGCTGGCGTTTCAAAATAAAAGTCTAGTTCTATCATAGCTTCCAACCCACATTGTAAATTATTTTGTTTTATAGAAGAAAGCTGATAAAGAGTTGGTATGCTTTAATGTTTCTGTAGAAAATCTGCTTTTAATAATATAATTTTATCACTAAATCATTAAACATGTAAAAATGAGACATTTATTATGTTTTAAATCTTTGTTTCAGCAGATTCTAACCTTCAGGAGGCACGAATAAACACAACCTCGTTTCCCAACGTTTTAATTATCTGCTTAGTCATCATTTTGTTTTGGTTTGCTTTTCTAAAACCAACAAATCAGATTAAAGCAATTTGAGTTGAGAGATTCAAAGATTAAACTGAGAACATGTTGAACTCAACAAGTTCCTCCACGATGAGCTGATGCTTTAACCAGACCTCTGATGGTTTGGAAAATGTGATTTCTCTTCTCAGAAGATGCACTGGAACCAGAACGCAGATCCGATCCCACTTCGGTTGGTCCCGGTGCCAAACCAGAGCTGGGTATGTGAACGGTCTGGCTCAGCAGAAAACGGCGGCGCTGAATGGAAAAAGGAACCCCCCCTGAGGAAACCAGCGCCTGTTAGCTTTTCCATTCCTGGGAGGTATTTCTCATTCCTGAAGCCGAGGGATTTCCTGTTCAGGCTCAATCATCACGCAGAGAACAACTCTGAGTAGAGCTCAGCTCAGTGTTTGGTCTTTATCTCTGCTGGAATATTTGGACCCTTCAGTCTGTCCTAACAAGTTCTGGAAACCTTCGGTACGCTGAGATAATCCCAGCTGTTCCCGACTCAGACTGAGAACATGTGGAAAGACTAATGTTTTATAAAAGTGTTCCTTTCTGCTGACCTGACAACCAGACCTTCTCACAGCTCATCATACAGGAACTAAGGGATTATTATTCAAATATTCTGCTCAGATCGGGCACTTTGACCAGCCTGATCAGGCTCCGCCCACTTTCCATCAACGCTCAGTTTACAAGCGAATGATTCATTTGATCCGAATCTGCTCAGAATTTCAGAAACTTTTAAACAAACATGTAATAAATTAAAATTACATCCAATTATTAATCTACTTTAGCATAATTCACTTTTAACTTAAGCTACTGTTTTACTAAATTAGCTTTGAGCTAACATTCTGTTGATTTTAGTTATTATTCTGATCCTTCTAGCTTTCAGCTACTTTATGCTAGTTTTAGCTTGTAGCTACTGTTTAAATAAATTAGCTTTGAGATAACATTCTGTTGATTTTAGTTACTATTAATATAATTTTAGCCTTCAGCTACTATATGCTAGTTTTATCTTGTAACTACTGTTTTGCTCATTTGAATTATCTGTTCTAATTTGAACTTTTTCAGCTTTTAGGTACATTTTTTGCTTGTTTTAGCCTTTAGGTATTAAATTATTATTAAATAATTTTAGTTAATAAATAAAAATAAAACTGATCAGAACTGAAGGCTCCAGACTTCATTCAGCCACTGTGTCTCGGTTCAATCAGGTAAACATTTTCCCTGAACTGTGTGTGTGTGTGTGTGTGTGTGTGTGTGTGTGTGTGTGTGTG